AATAATGGCCTTCGACTACTTTACCCGATGCGCTGAAACTAAATCAGTGTCAGCCGCTACAGCCCCTGAACTCGCTGACTTCTTCCTTCACTCCATACTTCTACTGCACGGAGCCCCGCAAGCCATAATTACCGACCGCGGCACTCTCTTCGTCGCAAAAGTCCTTAATGAGCTTTGCGACCTCACGAGCACTGTCCATCATATCACAAGCGCTTACCACCCTCAAACAAACGGCCTCGTCGAACGCCTAAATCATACATTGACCGACATGATATCTATGTACATGGCAGAGGACAACGCAATTGGGAAACCATTCTGCCCTATACGTCACATATGCATACAACGCTGGTCGCCAAGCTACCACCAATTATTCTCCATATTATCTCTTACACGCACGTGAACCCCAGTCAACGATGGGCACTCTCTTGCCCTACCTTGATGACACATCCCTTGATAGTTACGCTGAAGATATATTATGTCGTGCGGAAGAAGCTTGCCAACTTTCGCGCATTTAAACATTAAGGTGTCAACAAGAGCAAGTCCTCCGCTATTCCGAAACTCATACTTCAGTTGAGTACACAGTGGGTGAAAAGGTACTCTTATGGACACCGTCTCCAGTTCCAGGCAAGTGCGACAACTGCTCAAAAAGTTTGAGAGGCCATACCACATACTTCGCCGAATCTCCGGGACCAACTACGAGGTCGCCCGGTTTCACCACACTCTGACCATCGCTCAAAACAAACAGACATTGTTCATGTTGCACGCATCAAGCGTTACCACCGTCCTGCACCTTAGCGCCGGATTCCGGCGCTTTCTGGACGGGCGAGTAACTGTGGTGAAGGAAGTGGTAGAAAAAGAAGTCAGTTTGCCCGAGACCGCCATCGTTCTGTCAACTATTACCCTATTAAATGAACCCTTCTCAAGTCTTACTATATCTAAATATATAAATATATCATGCATAGCAAACGTTGACAGGTGTCTACTGTGTTAGCTCACAAAGGAGCTTCTATCATCCGTTACCCATAAAATACTTCACGCCGTGTCAAAGTGAACGATCTATAGAAAAACAAATATAGAAAAACAAGTCCGTACCTGTAGATAGGCCGCATAGGGTAAAATTTCAACTTCTCTGGTGTATAGTCCGCGGACTATACACCAGAGAGAGACGGAGGGAGAAAAAAAATGGAAGTAGTGGAGAGATTGACAGCCGGAGCATACGGTACTATATTATTCTCCATAAAACGTTTTGGGGACTATATATCCGCATTTAATTGCTCAAAAGAGAATTGATGAAATCTGTTCAATTGTTATTTCAGATTTTATAAACATCATAAATTGGACATATGCCTGAAAATGCCCATGTACGAAACATAGCGTCGCGTCTACCTATCGGCCTTGAAAATTTCAATGTGCGTTAAATTGGAATCAACAAATGCACTAACAAGGTGACAATATTTTATTAATTAGTAGGCATACAAAAGACGACGTCCAAGACTTGCAACTTGATGTAGAGCTTGAAAAAACTCGTGATTGTTAAATGTTCACTGATTTAACTGATAATAATAACAATAATAATACATTTATTGTATGGAGCACAGCAATGTTTGCGTGACGGGTGCATCAAAGCCAAAACAAGGCTTGTGGGTTGCTACCCGAAAATTAACACTTTAAACATTGCTACCCGGTATACAAAAGGGAAATAAGACAGATTGACATACACACGTCCTTAGAATGTCCCAAGGTCATAGTCAGCAGTTGGGTGCATGCAACACACAGAATCACACTTCCAAATAATGATGCAAGTACATAGATAAGGTTTAAAATAGCTTAATATAAAAAAATAACGATAATCACAAAGACCAACATGTCGCGCCTGATGAGGAAAGGAAAAAGAAAAAATTGTCAGGCGAAAAACGAAATTGCAGTACACGGCGTACAACGGGCGATTGTCCAGGACGTCCAGGCTACACAAGTGCAACCCACACTGGGAAACACTAAACAAAGTAAAGCAGAGATCATCAAAGACTCATACTTCTAAGTGATTTCTTAAGTTTACGGAGCGAGGTGAGGCCTAGAAGCTCGGTCGACAGCTGTGAGAAAAGCTTTGGAACGTAATATGCTCGCGTACTTTTACCGTATCGGGTTTGCGCAACAGGTATTTGGAAAGGCTGCACGTGTCGGAGGGAACGAGATGATTAGCTTAAACTTTTTGAATTCAGAGCTCCAGGAATGTCGCAGAATAACTGTATGAACATAGAGGGTGTGAAAGTCAGGCATTTGAAGAATTTTGAAAAGGGTGGTGTCTTCAGGGTATTTGCATGATATAGGAGACACTCCTTAGGATCGCTTTAAGGATGCTGTCAATTCTAGCTCTCCAGAAAGCGGAACAATTACCAGAAACTGTTATGCCATACCGAAGGATACTGTACCCAAGAGTATGAGGAAGAACCTTACAAACAGAAAGAGGCATGATGCATTTGGATTTATATAAGATACAGCTAGCGCTTCTTAATTTTTTGCTAATATATGCTAAATGGGCATGCCATTTTAGGCCACTATCGAAAAATATACCAAGGTATTTAACACTACTAGCGTACTCTAAGGGGACACAGGCGCACTGATTACAAGCAGATGAGTGTAAAATAAAAGGAATGCTGAGATTGATTGTTTTATGTGGATAGTAGAAACACATTAGTTTTGTTTTCTTTACATTGATAGCGATTAGATTTTTCTCAAACAAGTCCATGACCGCAGTCGCAGGGTGCTGTAACTGGTGAATCGAGTCTACGTAATTAATATGTTGCGACATGATCACAGCGTCGTCTGCATACTGATAGATCTTGCATCCTGGTACATAGTTGACGATGTCATTTGCAAAGATGTTAAACAAAAGGGGTGACAAAATTGAACCTTGCGGTACACCTGCTTTTAGTTTGGTTCGTGAGCTTTGAAAACCTCCAGCAGATACCAGCTGGGAGCGATTGTCAAGATAGCTCTCAAAAAAAGAAAAAAAGGTGCCACGGAAGCCTATGCTGTGAAGTTTACGTAAAAGTAACGAGTGAGTAACGGGGTCGAACGCTTTAGATAGAATAGTGTTGACGTGACAAGGTTATTACCAAAACCAGAGTAAAGATAATCAGAAAAATCTTCCAGAAGGGGCTGTGTGCCCTTCCCATACACGAACCCGAACTGAGTCGTTGACAATATATTAAATTTATCTAAAAAAACGTCATTACCTGAAACACATGCTTTTCGAGTATCTGCACGATTATCGGTAGAATAGAAATCGGTCGATGATTCTCGATGTCATTTTGGGCACCACCTTTGTATAGAGGACGCACTATAGATATTTTAAGGTCGTCGGGAATCAATTTAGCCTCAATAAAGCCCTTTAACATAAAAAGAAGGACCGCTTTGAGACAGACATATTTTCTGCGAAGAACGGAGAGACGAATGTTGTCAATTCCAGGCGACTTGCTTGGCTTAAAGCTAAACAAGATCGAGTGCAGATGCCTCTCTTGGAGTGGGAAAAGCAACGCAGAGGAGCTGACAGTGTTACCTATAGGAGTTGGTGGATTTCTCGCCTGTCCAGAAAAAGTTGCAAAGAAAGCGTTGAAATTTTCTACATGACATAAATTACCGCCAAAAATTTCGCTTCATCCTATCGTCGATAGAGTGGCGCGTGCTAGTTCCACGAAATTCATTAATTAGGAACCAAGTTTTTCGTGCATCTGAACGAAATTCTGCTTATTTTTTCTGGTAGTAGTTTTGTTTGGCAGATCTAATCATTGCGTTGACTTTGTTGCGAAGGAATTTAAAGTCTGACTTCAACTGCACATTGTTAGGTGAACGACGGCATCTAGCCCATAAAACATTTTTATCGCTAATTGCTGTTAAAATATTTGTATTTAGCCATAAGAGGTCAGGGTTACGTTTTTCTTTTATGTACACCTCTTTCGGACAGGTATTCTAGAATTGTTCAAACAAAAGAACAAAGGTTTTATATACGTTACTGTGGTGGACGGGCTCCAGACATCCGATCCAGTCATATGACGAGACTAGCTTATCAGAGGCACGATTGTCTATGCTTGTTAGTTTAATACGGCCCGGTAATTTGCGCGATGCCAAGTTACCAAAAGAACAACGACAGGCCAAAAAGTAGTGGTCAGCAAGTTTTTCCGTAATAATTGCCGATTTAACAATCGACGCAGATGTTCTGATGTTGATATGGTCAATGCAGGAGCAAACTAGTCTGTCTATTATAAACTCCTCGCGAGTTGGAGCATTAATAGTGCACTCTATCCCATGCGTTGAGGAGATGGTTAAGTATTTGCACACCGTAGATTTGGTCGTGCTTAAGATGTCAATATTGAAATCTCCTACAACGCATAACTGGTCATGCATGGTGAGACTACTTATGTAAGAATCAAGTTCTTCCAAAAAAGACCCAACGTTCGTGGAAGGCGGTCTGTAGACTGCCAAAAAACTTACTGAGTTGCCGCGTTTCCTAGAGAAAGGGCGACACACTGCGTGATTTAAGTAGAAAGAAATATTAGTAATGGACCACTTCTCATTCACGAAAACCGCGATGCCACCTCCATGACCGGAACACCGCGTGTAGAATTTACCTATATATCCTGGTAAAGAAAATTGATCTGTAGCAACAGAGGAAACGCTTATTTCTGTTAAAACAAAGACATTTACCAGCGAACTAATATCCCTTGAAATTATCTCGAATTCATTCCAATGCTTTCATATGCTCATTATATTAATGTGTAAAACAGACAAAGAGTGGTCATGACAGACTCCAAGAAACTTTCTGAAGGACGGAAAATCTGAAACCTGAGCGAAATTGGTAATGCAACTAGATAATCTTTTCAAGGTCTAACTTATGGTTGATCCTCACAGGGAGAGAACCCTCTACCTTTCTGGCGTATATCTTAGCCCTTGTCACCCACACGAATTTATAGCCTCGCTCCTTGCCTCTCTGTCTCGCCTGCCAAAACAGCCCCTTGTTCGCACGAGTCAGGTTGTCGTTTAAGTACAATTTGGGGAAAGGACCAACGTGACTGAGTGAGGGAAGCTTTCCCCGCGCTTCCATCCACGATTCCTTCATGCTGACCGAAGCAAATCGGATTAGAATCGGCGGGGCCTTTTCGCATTTGGCAGGCAAGCGATGTATAGCGAGTATATCGGTTTTGTGGAAGTGAGAGATGTTCAGCTTTTCCGCGAGAGACTCAATTAAGGATAATAGGTCTTCTTTAGGCGAGACAGGAAGTCCGTGCACTTCGACGTTGGAGAGACGACTGTGCTGTTCGTTGTCGTTGAGCGCGCCCCGGATCTCTTGGATTTTGGCTGCTTGTATCTCCACAGTTGACTTGAGTTGCGACAGTTCATCCTGGAGACCTGTGCAAGTTTGCTCGTTCGCTGTTGCCAGCTTGAGAAGACGGTCATAGTCAGCGGAGAAGTCCATGGACTGTTGAATTTCGTTGATTGTCTCCCTTAGGCTCTCAACCAGTGGCTTTACCAATAAGAGTTGGTTGAGCTGCGCCGACAAAGACAGGAGGGAATCTACACTTACTTTCAGGGTGAGCAGCCCATCCAGCTTCTCAGTCACGGCAGCCGGCTGAGCAGATAGATTCTCCACACCCTGCGAGGCTTCGATCCCACCAGAAGGTCCCGCTTGACTCTCTCTCCCACGGCATGTCCGGCATATCCACTTGTCACGTTTAGACTGACCCATATTGGTGAACGTCTTGTCGGCGATACCGGAACAAGTCTGGCCCAAATGGTAAGCACCTTTGCAGTCTGGGCACGACATGTGCCTTCCATCGGTCTCCACTGACTTGGTTCACGCCACACACTCGATGGTTGGAGTCATAGTTGAACCGACGCGCAGAAAAGGTGGCGAAATACGTGCACTGCCGTTTGGCGCGAGAAAAGAGCAGCGAAGTAATGACCTAAGGCAATGAGGCAGGTAGCATGTCAGGATGGCTGCAGGTCTCTGCACACTGACGGCACGACGGGGCACTGAGAGCAGAATAAGGGAAGGTGGATACCCAATACAGTAAACCTGCCGGCGAATCTAAAGGGCCGGGTCAGACAGCAGCTGGGAAGGGTGGGAGAAGGCATGAGACGCCACGATACTTGGTCATAGATGGTCACCCAGGCATTTCCTGGAGCGTCAGAGTTTCTAGGCCTCACGGTGACAGAAAGCCCGAGACAGCTCTCTTGAAGATATCCCGTCGAAGATGATCATGACAAGGTCAGCACAACCCCAGACATCAAGTCTGTGGTCGGTTTGCCTTGCTGCATACCCGACCCGGAAGAATAACATGGAGCCAACGGTTTTAGCAACAAGAAACTGCATTTAATAAGACAAAGACAATCACAATACTAACATGGTTATTTCAGCTCGGCGGAAATCGGCCGACTGCCCTCGCGCCGCTCCTGTCTCGCCTTATCTAGGCGAGCGGCACGAGGCGCGCGTGGCCGGCTGCTTGCCGCCACCTTGCGGCCGAATGATGGCCGCGGTATTTTGGGTACCGGGCAACCGTGTGCCCCCACAGATCTTCGTCCGCAGAAGTATGCCAGATCACGAAGCTACGAAATTCATATTTTGTAGCTTTGAGTCCATCCCCTTTACACCAGACAAATACTTCACCTCATTACGTAGAATAAGTACAATAAATTTAAAGAGCCTACCGGAAATCTAGTAAAGAAACTCCATTTGTTCATAGGTGACGTGGCACCTATTCATATGACGTAATATTTCTCGATGAATCTAGCGGCGGAACTGAATTGGAGGACGAGGGGAGAGGAGGAGATGGAGGAGAAGGAGGAGAAGGCGACGAGGAGAAGAGGAGGGGAGGAGGAGAGGGTACGGAGACGGAGGAGGGAAATACCCTCCCCTCCGTACCAACCCTACCGCGTCCTCAGTAGCTGCGCTCAAATTTCGCATTGCAGAAATTTGTAAACGTGTGTGTTTTCTTTTTTTTTTGCGTTTATAGCTTTTATGATGAGCACCGAATTGGAATCTGAATGCTGAATTTCAACGAGCTACAAAAAGCAAAACAAATATTCAGCTTCTTTTATGATGGCAAATCGTGATAACGACAGCGTTGCGCCGCAAGCAAGTGCGAACGTGCCCCGAACGGATATTTGTCGATTGACCGCCGCATATTTGCTTATGTCTTCTTAGTTGCGACTTCGAGCACCATTACTTCCACAATTTTTTTTTTTTTTTGCCGCCAATGGGACGTTAAAACTGCAATACCGCAAGCATAGAATCGTACAATACAAACCAGGCGATTTTGCAGACAGCGAACAAAATAAAAAAATTCTGGTGCCTACTGATACAATAGCGCATGTCCGTCAGCAGATATCCCCATGATCATGATAATATGCTCCATCTGTGGTACGATGTGGAGTATTGGGTAGAAAAGGAACGCAGGTATGGAGCATTTGTGTTGGCACCAATAATTTTAAACTTTTTGGCAGACCCCGTGTCCACATATCACTTTCGATCGCCGTCTGTGCAAATGTCTCCCTATCACGGTTAAATAATACCAATTTGTATTTAAAAAAAAGGGCGGAAATCACCATTGTGAGCGACCGTTTTCTTTTCAGCCCACTAACCGCTGCAGCAGAAAACGTTTCCACAGTCGGTTGGCGGTCGTATTTTTTACCGGATCCCCTTCGAAGTATCGCACATCAACGTAACCCGGCCGCCTTTGCCTGACACTGGGTGTGAGCGGTGTGCACACGTCGTGTCCGTATGCTTGATTGAGCGCGTCGGTGTATCGACGTGGACGACTCTCCGAGGTCACAACTTCGAGAAACTCCGTACGCCTAACACATCAGACGATGTTTCTCGGAGCCTCTGCGAAAGTGTAAAGCTTGATTCAATACCAGGGATGTATTAAAATTTAATTAAGTATGCCTTATATATGCGCTACGTATAAGCATGTCTTAGATCGCCGCACAGGCAGCCGTTTCCGTTTAAAACAACAAACGCAAACAGTTGAGTGTATACATGCGTGGCGTGCACACAGTAACGTATCATAACTGCATCTGTTGACCATAAATATCCAACTAGAGTATCTCCCCCTGCATATAATAATAGTGGCAAGCGATGAAAACGGAATAAAAACCCGCAATCATAAACTTGTGCTGCATAAAGTGTGGTGCATTTCTGAAGTCAAACACGACGTAATTTAGGCACCACTCTCTTGGAAGTCAAATTTATGAGTCTCTTGAGTACGCGGGCGGAGGCGAGGAAGTGAATCCACACGGGCGGTTCTCTCCAGACTATCTACACGTTCGGACTATGATATGACTTTTTTCGCTGTCCGTACTCTAATAAAGCCGGAATTGTTTTCTATGTGTGCGGTGCATGATAATGTTTTGATTTGCATATGATGCACCGGGTGCGTACTGCCTACATAAATAAAAACTTTATGGATTCTGCCAAAGTTCGCCCAAGTGCGTATTCCTAGCCTACGATCAGAATTGTGCCTGTCTCAAATACGTTACTCAAAATACAGTATTTTAATTGCTTTAGGAAGGATTCCGATGTCTTGCAGATACATTTGATCGAGAGTAATTGCTACTCTATCTTAATTAGATGTAAGTATCTTGTATTAATTGTTTTAAATACATTTTTAAATGTTTGCCACAAAATCGGAATTGCAGATGAACTTTTTTTTAGGCGAATAATATTCCGCACTCCCCAGCGCAAAGTTGAACCGCTCGCAAATAAGTGGAAACGACCAAACAATGAACAGAAAACAAGCGCAGAACCAAAGATGCGGACTCGAAAAGCCAGCGATACGATAAATAAAAAGTAATAAAAAAAAAACACGCAAAATTTTGTTTTTTATGTTTAACCCTGTTCCGGCAATAATTACAATAGCCTGACCCTTTCATCAGCATAGCGACTGCAACAAAACTGAAAACAATCTAAGAGCAAGGTGAGCTCTCGAAATGCCAACAATGAGTCCTCCCAAAGTTGTACGCTTTTTTGAAGGGGTTGCTGTAGCTTAGTATGAACAATAAAATAATCGACAACCGCGATAAGGCAGTTGTGCTTTTTCGTGCCCAGCTGCGTCTTTCTTTTTCAAGTTTAGCCATCTTTAAATACAGCGTTTTGGGTACCTGACTTGAAGAATGTGCAGCACGTGACATGCCAGCTACATGACAGCCCTCATGTAATTGACTCATTCTTTCACTTATAACATTTCTTTAAAGTGAACTCCGGATATAGTGACTCGTGGCGCTTAGTAACACAATGAGTCCAAGGTGTTCATGATAAAACCACCAACAGATGTGATAATCATCAGAGTGACTATAGGTAAAGTTTCCTCTTTTTGCTCATTTGTCTAAAATATATTGTAACATGCACCAGTGATGTATGCTCCTTGAGGCTGCACAGAATAGCGCTGCAATTTTATTTTATTTGCTTCCATTGCTCACAAATGAGGCATTCTAGTGTCACTGAAGTCGATACAATTTACACAATCCGGAAGTATCTTCGGAACTAATTGAATTACATTTCAAAGCGTCTTTGCTCAACTCAAGATATTTTTCGGAAAAGTAACGTCATTTGTACTTTAATTACTTTATGAAGCAGGTATTGGGTAACCTAACTTCAACACTTTTGTCGAGTATCTTGTCCGACACTGCTTACGCATAAGGTCACTCTTTGAAATGATATGTTCCCCTCCGCCAGTGCCACGTTGTTGGTTGACTCCTCACCATATTCTTAAGCACACTCCAAGTCGTATGGGCACGGCTAGCCGCCCGGACGTCCGCATAGATGCAGCGTATACTTTCAACGCAGCCCTAGCTTTCAACATGTCAACTTGAAACAGTTACCGAGCATACTATCATGGTGCTTAGCCAGTGCCTGCAGATTTTTCCACCGCCAATGCTATCGCATTATTAGCAAAAGGAATCAATATGCTGCCCATCCGAGATAGTTACACGATGGACTGTCGTGTAGGCTGAACAAGCTTGATTATGCGGTTGAATGCGTAAAGATTGCTGAAATGGCATAGTCATTTGACGAAGAGCAATAGGATTTGCCACTGTAAGAACTTCAAAGCACCGAAGTCGTTCCGATTTCGCGAAGCGCCGGTATATTACGCAGGAGTCACCATGTCCTGTTTGGTAATTCTAGGGTTGTTTAGTTGTGGACGTGATGAAGCGAAAGCCGAAAGACATCATGAATATTAGCGCCAAAGCCACTGCAGAGGATTAAAGAAATTCGAAAACGTCGTAGGAGTGTAGCCACTCGCTGCTGGCTATGTGTGTCCCGCAAATTGGACAATGTGCGGCTTCATCGACAATGTTAGTTCTGTTGAGTTTCATCTTACATCCTACCCTCTCTTTTTTTGACGGGTGCTTTGTCGTGGGGTACGCCGATGAAACGATCGCTGTGATACGTTGTTGGTTAAACCGCAGTATATTTTTTTTCGAAGAGCGACCTATACAAGCGAACGGGGCGCATTTACCACGGTTCTCGCTGGCGCAGGTGCAGGCCGTGCGTACAGGTGCACATTACAGTCCGGTAAATACAGCAGTCTTTATTTACACTTCTTACCCTACACTGCGCGCTGCCGGGCGTTCTTTACTTAATGCTCGACCACACTCCCTCTCCCAGTCTAGCATATTCTCCAACGGCAGGTCAGCGTATATCTCCGACCTGGGAAAGAAGGGAAATCGGGTTAGTTTGACGCTTGACGCGTATCCCTAATCCGGCAGTGGGTTGGAAGCTATGAGTTCGTTAAACCAGTGGTGCGTAATCTTTCGCGATGTGAT